CACAGCCACATACGGACCCACAAGAACACTGGAAGACAATCCTCCTCAGAAAACGAGGGATCGCCTAAGTAAGTAAGTAGTATATAGATAGAATGGATTAGTTTGTGTTCATCCATTCAACCAATTCCAGACCCACCTCACCGTAGTTTTGCCTAGCCCACCAAACGCAGCATTGCCCAAACACGAATCAAGGAACACGGAAGGCACTGCAGACTACTTCAACCAGAGAAGTCAGCCTGATGAACCAACTTGGACACAACATATTATTCGAGAACACAGAAATGCTGGACCATACCAACAACCACCATGTCAGACTACACAGAGAAGTCATTGAAATCCACAAGAAGCATGTGGACAATGTCAACAGAAAGGAAGAAACCATGAAAATGAACAAAATCTGGCTACCAGTATTAAAAAACTCAAAAATTAGAACAGCACAACAACAGAGAGGAAACAAACAAGGACATCTAATCACCTCTCAACAAAAGATTGCGCCAGGCACTGTCAGGCCATCAAATGCTAATCAAGGTGGTCAGTTGAAACATTCACCCCTAGCTCCAGCAGACAAGAGTCCTTTGTCCCACCCTGGTCATTCCACAGATATATAAACCCTTTTCCCTAGTTCCAACAGACCTCACTATCTCTGAGGCGAAACGTCAGGAGAGAATGCCTGTAGACCATGGCCATATAGCCCGAAGAAGCCTACAACAACCCAGTGATTTCGGCCATGAAAGCCTTCGACAATAAGGTCTGGGTTTTGGCCAATCTATAGAAGGACTAACAATCACAACAGGTTAGATTGTGTGTACATTTAACCTTATTTCACGTGCTAATAATAATAATAATAATAATAATAATAATAATAATAATAATCTTTATTTATACCTCTCCACCATCTCTCCAACAGGGATTCAGTGTGGTTCATGTGAGGCCAAGCCCAACAATAAAATAAAATAAAACGAAAGCATAACAAGAGATTTACTTTTGAGAGAATAAACTACATAAAACATAAGAATTCACTAAACAATATACAATACAGTAAAAGTCATTCAGTAAGGTAATGTTCAAGATCCTGCAAGACATGGAGAGAGAGAATTGCCAGATGTACAATCTGGCTTTAGAAAAGGCAGAGGAAGGAGAGGGCAAATTGCCAATCTCCAGATGCTAGATAATGGAGGAAGGCAGGGAGTTCCAGGAAAACATCTCTTTCTGTTTTATTGACTACTAGCCATCCCCTGCCAGGCGTTGCTGTGGCCCAGTCTGGTGATCTGGAAAATAAAGTAATGAGAAAGTGATGGTTTCTAATATATGTAA